AAATATCATAAATTGACTACTGTTAAATAGATAATATGCTCATAAGTCATTGCAGTGTTACCAATATACTAATAAAGTCTTATATCCTCAATAAGGTTTCTTTCAGCCAACAACGTAATAAATTTGCTAAAATTTAATCCAATTTAGTCACTGGAATTTCACAAACACATTAGTGTATTAAGTTTTTGTTGAAAAAAGTTAATATATGAAGCATGCACAATCACATTAAAGTAAAAACAGAAGAAAAAAGACACAAGAATTTTACGTAGTTCAGCAGCGTGTCTACATCCACGGGTAAGACCAACAAGAAAAAATTTTACTATATAATATGAGAGTATATCACTAATAAATTAAAAAACCTATTTATAGAGAGATTAGTAGAGTTTTTCACAAATTAAAACTATCTAAGATGTACATTAAATATTTTTTAGGATAAATATAAACAAAACCAACATTAATTATCTTCAGAATATAGATAAATATCACAAAAGTTTAAGACACATCAACAAATCTTTCCTTTAGCTCAAATTTCCTCTATCATCAAAGCAACAAACCATCTTGTCGCACCGTTTAGCTAACATGCCTCCACTAGGGCACTATTGAGTATCACATACTCCAGCCAAGTTTAGGCCACACCTAAACTGGTTATTTGATCCCTCAACAAAGTGACATATGTCATCAAGTTCTTCACACACAACATCAATCATTTGATCAGCATCTGAATTCCCTGGTTCTTGCAAATTAATTGGTCCTGCAATTGACAAGCTATGCAACCAGATTCTCATACCTCTGTGATCATCTAATCTATCTTCTCTCTATACCTGTTGCAATACTATATGGTTATTGTTAATCAAGTGCACTATCACCTTATTGATTAAGATCATGCACTTCATTCCTTAAACCATTGGACTGAACTTCTAACTCTACTTATTCTATAACACTGTGATATGATTATGCTATTTTTTTCCCCTTCTTAATGTCTAGTGAAGCAGACTCATTAAGCGTCACATCTCTGCTGATAATCAACCTTGGAGACTTAGGATCACTACACCACAACCTGTAGCCTTTCACTCCAAATGCATACCCCATAAATATGCATTTCTTTACCCTCGACTCAAGCATACCATCCCTAACATGAGCATAAGTAGGACAACCAAACACTCTCAACTGAGAATAATTAGCATGTGACCCAGACCATGCCTCAAAAGGAATTTTACTCTCAATATTTGTGGATGAAAATCTATTAACCAAGAAACTAACAGTATTCATAGCTTCAGCCCAAAACTCATGTCCTATACTTGAATAAAACAACATGCTTCGTGTCACATCACAACGCATCTTATTCATGCGTTCTGCAATATCATTCTGTTGTGGTGTCTCATTATACATTTCATACTGCAAAAGTTATCAAACTCATAATTGCAAAATTTCAAGCTATTGTGAGTCATAAGACATTTGATCTTCCTTTTTGTCTGCTTCTAAATCATGGTTTTCTATTTGACAACTGTTGAAAATGCCTCTTTTTTGAATTTTTAAAAATACACTCATACCTTCTTAGAGTAATCATCAATCAATGTCACAAGATGCCAATACTACTCTTGGAGAAAACTTTGTATGGACCCCATAAGTCAGAATGAACATAATCCAACTTACATCTAGTCTTGTGCACTACCTTTTTGTTGAATTTCACTATAGTCTGCTTGCTAAACATAGTGTTCA